TCAGTTAGAGAGAACATTAAAAATAAAAGAGAAATGTACAGTATTATTCAAGCTCTTAAAAAAGCAGGCCAGTTTAACTGTTTAAAAATTGAGAAATCCACCACCAACCTGGCATTTATCCTGGTGTTCCTAATCCACTGCCATTTCACATGAGCAGGATACTAGATTTACTCCAGGACATTCACATTCTCGAGTGTCACATTGTGCAGGTCATCTTCTAACCCAGCCTTCTTCTACTGTGTCCTTAACTCCGTTCTCTATGTTAGTGTAGGAAAAACCATCCAGAAAAGAGCTGAGGAACTCATCCACCAATGAAATAAATAAAACATCCAACTTTATGTCCTCACACGCACACACTGAATTGCAGTATTGAGATATTTTAAGTTAGGACGTGTGCTGTGATGATTTTAAACGCCGAATGGGGGATTAAGTATGAGCAAAAAGTACCTAAGATTTGGAAACATGCTGTCATTGTTCCAGTTGCTAAGGACAGTTCACCTAAGGTACTGAATGATTTTAGGCCTGTGGCTCTGACTTCTTTAGTGATGAAGTCATTTGAGAAGATGATTAAGAAGGAGATTTTAATGCATGTTGAACACCATCTTGACCCCTTCCAGTTCGCCTATAGAGCAGGGAGAGATGTGGAGGATGCTGTTCTCACACTCCTGCATTTCTTGAATAAGCATCTCGAGGCTCCTCACACCCATGCAAGATTATTATTTGCTGACTTTTCATCGGCATTCAACACAATTGAACCCTTCTTACTTGCTCACAGACTTTACAGTCATTTTAAGCTTTGCGCTAGTCTGATTGGCTGGCTGACAGACTTTCTGACCAATAGGTCACAATGAGAGTGAATCATGTATTTTCTGACGTGCTCTCCTCCTCTACTGGATCTCCCCAGGGTTGCTGCCTCTCACCCCTTCTGTTCATTCTGTACACAAATGAGTGTTGCAGTAATTTCTCGAACAGACACATCCTGAAGTTTGCTGATGACAAAGTGATCGTCAGTCTTCTTGTGGGGGATGAGTCAGGCCATGGGAAGTTTGTAGATGATTTTGTGGATTGGTATGATCAGTCCTTCCTTTCACTAAATGTGTAAAAAACTAAAGACATGATTATTGATTTTAGGAAGTCATTTTATAGCTCTTCACCTACTATCATTAAGGCTGCTGATATTGGGATTGTGGACGGTTATAAATATTTAGGTGTGATACTTGACCATAAACTGTGTTTTGAATCTCATGCTGATGCCACTACTAAAAAAGTTCAACAAAGACTGTTCTTTTTAAGGAAAATTAGATCCTTTAATGTCTCATCTGAGATGTTCTCTTTGTTTTATAAGTTTAATTGAATCTGTGATGTCTTTTTGTATCGCTGTAACCTGAAAGTGAAGAATAAGAATCGGTTGGGACTTCTGGTAAGAACTGCTCGTAAAATTTCAGGGCGCTGGCAGGATGGACTTTTGGCCCTTTACAACAAAAATGTGCTTAG